GATTATGATTATGATTATTATTATTATTATTATTATTATTATTATTATTATTATTATTATTAGATATTAATTATTGATACCGTTGTTAGAAGGCGTCTGTGAATTCGACGGGCATGCGTTCGCGAACGAATAACAGACACGCACGCATACGTCTATGTGTTATACCATTATCATTATAAATATTATCTTCTATTATTAGTACAGTTTAGAATTACATTGCAAGAATACTAGTTAGTCCGCGAGCCTTTCAAAAATTTACATCACTCGTAAATATAGGAATGCATATACATATTAGCATGTATAAGGATCGTAGGTGGGCGTGTCTGCGTTAACGCGAACATAATCGTGCGTTTGTTAATAGATTAGTTTACGTGGTACTTATCATTAATCATCCTCACCTATCTCATTATCGTTATCATCGAATCATCTGTATCGTTATCATTGTCCTCCTTACATATCGTTTCCCGGATCATCGTTACTTTTACTATTATTATTATTATTATTATTATTCTTATTATCCTCATCGTCGTCATTATTCATCATGATCGTTACGTATTCGTTAAGATTATCGATTAGTTGTCTCAATTTTAAAAAAAGAAAAAAAAAAACACGCACGAAATACGATCAATTTCTTAAGCATACGTACGTTCATCTTCTTTTTCTTTTCTTTTTTTTTTTTTTTTTTTACATATTCTAACATGTTTTTTTTTTTATATTTTTAAAATAACGCGAGGCCCACGAGACAAACCCAAGTGCAATCTTTTATTTCTTGTTACTTTTGTCGTAGATTACTTTCCCGTTTCTTATCCCGACTCCGGCCCGTGAACACCTCCCATTCGTTGTTAGTTTCTTCTACGAATCTAAGCTTTTCTTACGTAGCTCTATCGAGTTTCTTCTCTCCTCGCGCCTCTCTCTCCCCTTCCCCTCTTCTTTTCGTTCAAAGTACTTATAGTTCTCTCGCGAACAGACAGAGGAGAAACGGTCGAGTAATACGTTCATACCTGGAAAAGGTATGAAACCTTCAAATACCACCGATTTTATTTCAAGTTTCGTTATCGATTGTTCTTATTTGTCTTTTTTCTTTTGATCGCTTCAATCTTCTCCTCTACTACTGTTTCTTTTTTTTTTTCCACAAATTCCTCGGCGCGCGTCGATCAAAGTCGAAGGAAAAAAAAAAAAAAAAGGAAAATAACGTTCGATCGATCATTCTCTCCAGTCGTTTCGGTCATTCCACGATCATTCCGTATTTGTTTTTAAAAAAATTTTTTTTTCTACTCAGCCTGTGTTTCAACGGGCACAGACGATCCACTGGAAGAACGATGGATGTTCGAACGATCTTTCGATTCGCGAATGCGCGATATATCTCGCATATATCCGATTCTTATCGAGGATAAACGAAACATGTGAAAAACGTGATCGATGCTGCGCGCGCCGTTTTCTTTTTTCGAAAATCTCGATAACTTTCCCTTATTTTCTCTTTCGTTGGACCGATAATATAATTAGTGTTAGTGTTTACCATCGGCAAACAGGGCATTCACATCGTATATCGAGAATCGAGAAGTTGAACACGAGTGACGAGGAGTTTAACGAGTGAGTCGCGTCGAGAGGCGAAGATTAAACACATTCCGCGGAAGATCTTCGTTCCGCAGCTCTTCTCTTTTATATTATAATAATAATAATAATATTAATAATAATAATATTAATAATAATAATAATATGTCCGATATGTGGACGTTCGCGCGTCTCTTCGCGCTGCTTTGCCACGTCGAAGGCGCGAGACCATCGTTTAAACAACTTGTATAATCTAATTTGGGCATAAAATCGCGCGAACACCGGCACGCGGTGTTTGCCCGTGCGTCGAATAGAGATCAACCTTGTACATACCGCGTATAGACATTATGCATCACTTTCTGTAAAACTGACACGTACACACGTACACATCAAATCACCACAATGCTGCGATTACGACACGATTACTAACCTTACCGGTACAATACTGTTTTTCCTTCATCGAGTTTTCAACGACTACAGTGATATTTTCTTTAAAAAAAAAAAAATTTATCGAATCGCGAAACAAGATCTTTTCAGCCATATTCTTTTTCGTCTAAGTTTGCTCGATACTCGTTCGATGCGATAGATCGAACGAATATCGAATAACGTTTGACGAGAACGCCCTCTTTCTTCTTTTAGATGGAAACTCGGGCAAAAATCGAAGAAGAAAAAGAAAAAAAAGATAAATATAATTGCAACAGTCCCCTGGTCCCTAAGCACTCGTTGAACACTCGTCTAATCGCAACAGAGCCAGTCTTAAATGTCTTGTAAAGTAACAAAAAAAAGCGGAGCAAAACCGTGGACGCTTTCGCGCAGGCGTATTTCGGCGTGGCGTATCTATCGTTTAATCTCGCCTGCCGAAAGCTTATATTTCTTAGGTAGCCCTTGTGTATAGATGATGCTAAGTTTCCAGTGTATCGATATGTACGGTGTATTTCCGACGCGCAAGTTCGATCGGTTCGATCGATCGACCATCGACATAACCCCCCCACCCCCCACCCCACAGAACGTAGCCGATATTAAGTTTTCATTTATATATATATCTATCTTTCTCTCTCTCCTTTCTCTCACCTCGCCCCTTTATATCGTAATCGCTCGTATCAAGTACAATGCAAGTGTAACAGATACACATTCACGGATAAACTTTTTTGCACGCAGTAAGAATACATATATATATATATATAAAAAAAAAAAAATGAAATGATCTTCTTCGTACCTTCTCGCAGTCGGATCCGAGTCTGATCNNNNATCTTCTTATACATTCTACTCTTGTATCCCTGCCCTTGTCCGTTAGCCCTACCTCTCTCCTTATTTTTCAACTCCTGTTTCGTTGAGCGGCATATCTCGTAGAGTTTAAGAGAACTTTGTACGGGCCGAGGCGTGCCTATGGTCCGGTATTACCCGCGATTCTCCGCGATTCTCTGCGGTTTTGATCGTTCGAGAAAAAACGGCGAGTCTCGAAGAAGCGGGCGATCGATGCATTCCCGCGAGTAGCTAGGCGCTACGGTTAGGTATACGTCGTCGAAATCTGGACCCCAGGTTGTCCTCGCCTCTTATAGACGTAACACTTTCGCGTAAGCTCGTAACCAGAAAGATCATATATAAAGAAATTGACGGTACACGCATACGAATACACGTATACACGAAGGAAAAGGTATACACAAAGTACATTGAAGTTACGAGAAACGTCTGGCAACACATGACACACCGATGCAGTTACGCGTGAAATAAAACGGATATACATGTATACACGGGCATATAACGTGCACATACACTTACATTCATACACATGACACGGAGACAAATACCCACACAGACGTGCGCGCGCATATACGTTTCGTAACGAAGTATACAGTCTTAGCGCAGTGTTTCATATAGTTAGGTAGGAAACGTCGAGAGAATATTTTTTATATTCCACATGGATTTTACAGTTATATATTATCGTTTCGTATCGAAAGGGAGGAGTTTAAAAAAGGCGCGTCCAAAGCGTTACATAGATTATATATTATAAATACGAGACCTCTCGATATACGTGTCGCCATTTATTGTTTACACCGCGATGATTATATATCGATTATCGGTCATTCTTATAGGCGGTAGGCGCTGTCGTTTATATATATATACATATATATATATATATATACACACACATATAAATATATCTATATATATATATAGATTAATATTAAAGCGGCGCGCAGAGGTCACGCGCGCGTTTACGCGGCGTGTATATGCGCCGCTAATTAATCTCGTTGACGATTATTAATAATCGCGAATCCGCTAGGAGCAATCGAGCAAACGGCGTCGCGTTCGATCGTAACTCTGGGGAGGGAGGAGGGCCCTTTGAGTTCGTCCACGGTAACCCTACGTCCACGTGCGAGCGAAATCACCGGCCCTTCATTCGCTATACTAGGCAGCCATTCTCTATTTCACTTTTAAAGGTCGATCGCTCGCGCGATTTTTTTTTCGTTTCCAACACTTTTCCTTTTCACCCGTTTCGCGATGCAGGAGAGCTCGTTGGAGGAATGTAAGCGGGATCGATTCATTCAGACGATACACACAACATAACCTGTATCTTTTACGATACACACGTACACGTATACATAAACGAATACATACACGAATACATACACATGCTCGCGACAAATACACGGTACGGTTTATTATTTGTAAAAGATTCGCGAAACAATACGTATATACACGAAACACATACTTGTACCACAATTGTAATACATCGATAGACCAATCTTTCGAGAAGTAAGACGCAATTACGAATGCGCTTGACCAATGTATCGCGTGCGAGATATATCGATATGCTTCGATCGAATGATGAGAACAGTCGAACGCGAATTGTATAGAAAGTTGACGTACGTAATCGTAGCGCGATTAGGATCGTCGTCGGGAGAGATTAAAATCGTGTTTTCTTTTTTTTTTTTTTCTTTAATTGAATTTCAAAATCGTATAATTTTTTTTGTTAATCGATTCACGGAATTATGTATACGGGGAAGAGAGGATATTCTGAAGTCGATGGTCCGCGATCGTCGATTCGTTCGAGATATAAAAAAAAAAAAACGATCGTATTCACCAGCGATGACTGCGTGCACCAATCGTCGGCAAATTTATTTCGATAATTGTTAAATTATAATCGTGGATCCGGCAGCCAATGGAAATTTATCGGCGATCGCTCGCCATATTTCGATTTTTTATTAAACCGATAACAAAGAACCAACCGTCTGCCGCGAGTGATCGTCGATAAAGAAAATTTTACGGTATTCGGGGGAGGCAAACATTGATGCATGAGTCCTCGATGGTCTAACGGAAGCGGCTGTAAATGCGGTTTGAACGGTTGAGATCGAAGCTTGATCGAGAGAGAGAGAGAAAAAAAAAAGACATACTTTGGGCATTCTTTTGAATCGCGTTCGAATGTGAATTGCGAATGAATGAGAGTGGCGAGTGACGAACAGATCGCAAGTACGTGGTTCGCAACTTTGAAACATGTGATACGTCGGTCGGCAGAATTGACTTCCGGTTATCGGGAACGATCGGGAAGAAGGGAGAAGGGATGATTGGGAGAAAGGAAAAAAGGGGAAACGTAAGCACGAAACGAAACAACGTAAGCATATACTGGCAGTGGATTCGCTGGCTGACGCATTTTTTAAAGATTCTTTGAAGTAGGAACGCTCTTTTGTTGAAGGTTGATTGTTATCAAAATGGTTGTGAGGTTATAATGTTTGAAATGTGTTAATGATGCGACGCGAAAGTTCGATCGACCGATCGACACGACTTCCGGAAACGAAATCGATTCGTTCGATTAATCGATTATCGATTGCGATCGAAAGAAATTTTTTTTTTTTCCCCCTCGTTTCGAGAAGCCGTGTCGATTGTCTCGCCGAATAGCAGACGAGGAGACGAGTAGGAAAACGTGCGTTCACGTTCCAAATTTTCTTTCGTTTTTTTTTTTTTTTTTTTTTTCTTCATTCGATTTCCACAAGTCATGAACATTCCTTTTAATCGAAGTTACATTTTTTTCAACATTACGTAGTTATTTTTGCTATTATGAATAGAATATACGAATGGTCGATCGGCCGTAGCATTTATTTCTCTAACATTTAAATTGAATTCGATTGGCGGGAGCGCACGTGTTCCCCCAATATTGTGAAATTCGTCTCCGAGGAAGCGTGCAACTGGCATTACCCCGCATAAAGTCTGGTTCGAATTGTGTGTTCAATTTACGACAAATCGATGATGTTTTCCCGCGCTGTTTCCTTTCGATTCGAATAGATTTAAAGTAGAAATGAAAGATCTCGTGTAATTAAGAAGGAGCATTGAGAGGTAAGACATCTTCGAATTGTGGTACGGAAGATGATCAACCAGGCCGTTGGAAAAATGTGCGACTGATATAAACCAGTATTCGTGCGAGAAATAAATTGTAAAATAAAATTCGCGTAACCTAGCCTTAATGAGAAAGATTAAAATTAGATGTAATAGAGGCGGTGCCGCGAATGGCGGCCTCGCGTCGAAATTATCTCGATTGGCTGTAAAATATTATCGTGGAAGGTGGGAGCGACGGATTCGACGTTGGAGACAAACGCAAATCCTCGAATTTCTCGAAAAGATAAATCTATCCGAAAGAAACGTCGTTCGAAACGTCGTCGTTCCCCTTCTCACGGTGATGTATCTAGTGAGAGTAATGTTACTAGGTAACTTAAGCGTATTTTAAAAAAGAAAAAAAAGAAAAAAAGAGAAAAAAGTATAACGAAATGCCAGTTGTAAACAGTTTTTCTTTTTGAAAAGGAAGAAAAAAAGAAAAAGAAAAAAAAAAGAAAAAGGAAAAAAAAAAAAGAAATACACGTCGGGAAAAAAGTACGGAAAGACATGTTCGATAAAAGGGAGAACATGTCTCGAGCGACGCGTCCATTCATTGCCGGGAAACGAAACTGTGCAACGAATTGGCAACACGAGTAGAAGAAATAGAAAATTGATGGAACAGAAAGATATGAAATTTTCGTTCGGTACGAGGCGAAAAGAAAGTTTCCGCAAACGGCAAGAGATCGTATTTGGTCGCGCGATGTCGGTACGATCGGTTTTTCGTTTTTCTTTCTTTTTGATTATTTCGGACCGCCCGAAGGGAACGATCACAAGAGTTCCGCGAAACATGAAAATAGAGTGAACTAAGGTGATAGAGGGTAATAAGGATACAATATATAAACGGAAGCGAAAGAAAGGATAATGGCAGAGAAACGATGTTAATAATATACATATGTATGTATGGGCAACGGAACATTGTCATGTGTATACGCGAATTTACAAATTTTTCAAGAAACGACAGCTTTACCGATAGTTAAACAATAGATTTTTCGCAACTTGGGCACACGTAACAAACACCTTAAACATGATACACAATAACACTTACATACACGCATTACATGTAAAGCGATCCATGCGAAACAAAAAAAAAAAAAAAAAATTGTACGAATATAATGTTTGCAGTTAGGTGGGACCAAAAACAACTTTATATCTGTATGTGCATATCCAAGCAACGTGTAATTTAATTAATGAATTAATTAATTATCCATTATTAATGACTAGGTAAAGAAAAAGATCCATTGATAGCGATCAAGGACGATGACGAATCATTAACCAATAATTAGATTATTAAGTTTGTTTATTGATGCATTATTATATAATATAATTATTATTATTATTATTTTTATTATTTTTATTATTATTATTATTATTATTAACTTTATTGTCTTTACGATTATTATTATTATCATTATTATTATTTTATTTTATTTTATTTTATTCTATTTTATTTTATTTTATTACGATAATTAATTAATGACGACGATAATATTATTATTATTTAAATGACGTTTTAAGACATGATTATTTAGATACCGAATAGAGCAGTACGTATCATTAATTATTTTTAATTATTATTATTATTATTATTATTATTATTATTATTATTATTATTATTATTATTATTATT